CTTGAATTTTAGAAATGATTTATCCAAACACAACATTAAATTTTAATAGTTATAGGAGTATTAAATATTGTTTAATTCAATACCTAAATACTATTTAAGTCATCTACGTGGTTAAAAATTCAAATTTAACTCTTATTATTTCTTAGTTAAAAAAAAAGCTCTTATTATTTCACTTAATAGACAACTTTTCTAAAATAAAAAATATTTAAGTGTCCATATATTTATAAAATAATTATGATTGAATAAGACTTATTTATTAATATTTTAAATTTTGTTGTAGGTCTTAACATGTCATTAATATCTTATCCATCAACATTAAAATCAATTTACATCTCTCTTATTTATTATTTTATTCATAAAAAATACAAATATATTTTGAACCAAATTTATCTAAACTTTTCTTAAACTTATAAAATAAACGCCATATTAAAAATGTTTGCTTATTTGCTGCTAAATGCAAGAAAAAAACTCCTGGACAGTAAAGTGCCTGAATCAAGTGAGAAAAAACAGTAACAAGTTTGCCAAATTAGGACAATTGAATCGGAAAGGAAACTTCCCAGCTATCTAGATTCCATTTTAAGCCATAAATCCAAATCATACACTGATACACAGAAGTATCATTCCATTACAATTCAAGTGTTCAATCACTGAACTTGGATGCAACTTTTCCCAATTCCTATCTATCCTCCTCACTACTCTCACTCCACCAAACCCCTTCTCACCCAACATTCACAACTCAAGTACCATAAAGGAGTGGAAACTACTTAGAAATCCCGAACACTACTTACAAATCACGAATAATCGGATTTTCTTTATAAAAGGTAAAAACTCCATATTTATAAAAAAAAATTACCAAAAATTAAAAATCAAACAAAACTAGACGCATCGCGATGATAACTCTGTTCAGAGTCACCGTCGCGAGTAGTGGTAATAGTAGTGACAACAATGACGGCACGACAAATTGGACAATTGGAGTGCTTACTGAGCCACATGTCAATGCAAGAAGCGTGAAACGAGTGTTTGCACGCGCTCAGCTGCCGGACTTCTTCGCCGTCGGCGAACGCCGACAGGCACACCGGGCACTCGCCGCCGATTTCCTTGCCGTGGGTCTCTTTCCGGTACTTTACGCCGGTGTCGGCGGTGGCGGCGGTGGCGGCGATCTCGACGTCGAGGTGGGAAGCTTCCGACGCCACGGAGGGCTCGCCGGCGGAAGGCTCGCGCAGCCAGCGGCGGCGCGAGGGGCAGCGGAAGGCGAAGATGAAGGTGTAGATTAGCGCCGGGATGGTGACGACGGCGAGGAGGGCGAGGAGGAACTCGAGCGGGGAGAGATCGACGGAGCTGGGAGCTCCGGCGAGCGGCGGCGGCGGCGGGAGGGGGAGGACGGTGATCTGGAAGACGGAGTTGGGGGCTCCGGGGAACGGGGGCGGCGGTGGGAAGGGGAGGACGGTGACTTGGCCGGCGGGGCGCGGCGGAGGGAGGAGGGGGAGCGGCGGCGGGGCTGAGGCGACAACGGTGGGTGGGTTTTGCATTGTGATGGAGAAAGTGGTGAGGGAGGGATTATTATTATTATTATTATTATTATTATTAATGTGAATTATGTCATGTGTGGTTTTGGTTGGAAACTTTTTGGGTTTTTGACTTTTATTTTTCTTGGCTTGTTTGTTTTGGTTGGATTTATTTATTTACTGGGAAAAAAGGTGGTTGAAAATGGTTGTTGGGAGAATGAGAGGGATTGGGGGTGAAGTTGTGTTGTGAATTCTTGGAAGCAATTATTGGTTTGGGTGAGTGTGAGTGATGAGGATTGGAATTGAGAAAGTTTTGGTTGAATGATATAGGGGACAAAAAAGTGTACCTGGACCCTTTTATCACACTTGTGACTTATTAGTTTGTTTATATATGTTGTCCCTCTTTATTTATTCAGCTAGTTTATTTATTTATTTATTATTTAATTCCCAATTTTCTGTTATCTATTTTTTTTTTCACCTTCTATTATCTTATTATTACTAATAGAGGAATATGGAGCAAACCCAAAGTCTAGTTCTTGAATGTGCAAGTATTCTTAATTTTTTAAATTAAAAAATATCAAATAAAAACTTAAATTTTAAATTGTCATTTTAGTCTTTGAGATGTATAATTTATTATAATATTACTCTATAATTTTATAATTTATTATTGTTATAGTATCTGACATAGAGTTAATGGTAAAAATTATTGTTACTAACAAATTTCAATTTCAGAAATTTATTTGTTATTTTATTTTTAATTTCAAGGATTATTATGACATTTTCTCACAAATTGAAACTAAAATGAGATTTAGTTGAAAAATATGTAAGTTGACTTTTTCGAGTTTATAAAAAATTGAACTTTCTTTTAGTACATTCTTCTAAGCATCGCAAAAGTATATTTTTTACTAGCTTCATTTCAATTTGTTGAAATACCATGAGTTAAACATTAAATATAATTTGAAAGATGTTAATGGAATATTCATGATTTCAAAGTTTATGTTTGGGATTGAATTGAAATAGTTCAAAATTGAATATATATAAATTGATGTCAGCGGTATTTGGTTCCAATTTCTTAAATAAGGTTTTTAGTTTAAATTATATAGATGAAAAAAATGTAGTTAAGTTACTTTTAAAAAAATTTACTTTATCTCTTGCACCTTATCATGTGACAAGCTTTTATTAGTCACTTTAGATCTAGATTTAGATGTGTCAAATGAAGGAAAAATTCTTTAAATTCAAAATTCGAAATTGTTAGTTAACTTAAATACAAGTTAATCTAATCTTGATAAGCTTAATTTATTATAAGTTATCAAACTCTATATATACTTGTTACCTCATGTTAAACAAATGACTTTGAGCCATCATATGAGAATAAAGTTTCTAAAATTCTCTCTTTCAAATCTTCTTTCCTTGAAAAATTTTTTTTCTTTAAAATTATTATCAAGAAATATTTTCTTATGACAAATTCATCTTTTTTTCTTATCTTTCAATTGAAAGTGACGCAATATTTACTACCCTTTGTTATGGTGATGACCTTTGTGTTAGATTCTTATTAGTCAAGATTATTTGCTCTGAAATGTTTAGAAAATTTTCTTAATTTTTTATTTTTTGTTGGCATAATATTAACCATATTCAACTATAACTTGTTTATTAGGCAAAACAAAACCTTGGTAAAGGGAAAGGGAAAGGTGGACCATATTAGTAAAGTAATGTGCTAATGACAAATATGCTGTGATGATATTGCAAAGTGCTCGATATTTAATGAAAAACAAAAAAGAACACATGACTTTACTTCCTCAAGATTGAGTTCCAACTACAATGAGTACATTCTTTCTACTTGGGGTTGGGCAAAAGTAAAATCTTAGTCATACCAAGTCCTTCCAATTATTTCAAAATAACTACCAAAAAATAAGATATATGCAAACATACCTCGTTGTAATCTACAAACATCTTGTTTTCTTGTTAAAGAATTCTATCATAGAAATGTGCAAGAAAGACTATGGAGAAAAAAAGGAACACTAGAAGTGAGATTAAATAATGTAACTCATCAAAAACTCTTACTTTTTTCTGTTCATTGAAGTAGTAACCATGACAAATATGAGAGAGCAGACGAAGTAAAGAATGAATTCAAGGTTCACTACAAGAAAACGACAATTTTGCAATAGTTATATGGCCTACATTGCGACGGTTAGAACTGCCGCAAAGACACCATTACGATGGTTCACCAACTGTCGCAAAAATGTCCGTCATGAGTGAATTTTGCGACGGCTATTGGAACCGTTGCACAAACCGTCACAAAATTGGAATTGCGACCCTTACAGCACCCATCGCACTAACTGTCTCTAAATCAGTCGCTAAATATTTATTTCTTATTTTATTAAAATTTTTAGACGTCTCAAATTCGGTTGCTATTCTTCTCAAGGATTCCATTTCACAATACTTCATGTTTTAGCATGTTTTGTCCTTACTTATACAGTTTCTGGAAAACTTCCCAGAAGGTCACCTATACCTATATTACTCCAAGTCAAACACACTTAACTGTGGAGTTCTTATGAGATAAGCTACAGAAAAGCTGATACATGTTGTCAGTATAAGTAGTACAAATTAATTCATTTAAGTCATTCTCAACTATACAATTTCATACTTATACTATCATTAGATCCCTCTCATTCCAGTGTGTCTGAACCGTTATAAATATATAATAATTATATTACTAATAATAATTATATTATATTTAATTAATCTTTATTTATTATATATCTACTTACTTTTATAATTAAAAATCTACTTGTTTCTATTTAAAATTAATATTATGATACAATTTAAATTATTTATTATAAATTTAAAAGTTTAAATAATAATTTATATATTTTAAAATGAGAAATGTTATAATAACACCGGTGTAACTTTTAATAAGTATTACACCGCTTAATAATCTTATATTAAATGTGAATTTTGTAAATTTAACCGTTAGATTGAAAGTTCATATCACTTTATATGTTTATATCAAATTTTTTTAAAATTGAACAACTTGAAGGTAATCAAAGTATTCATATTTTAGTATATTTTGAAATGTATATATTACGTCAATTTTGTTTTACAAGAATGAAGTATCAAATCATCTTAAATTAATATAAATTTTTGTATATATGATCTAAGAGTAAAAAACTTTCAATCTAACGGTTGAATTTATAAAATTTACATTTAATATAAAGTTGTTGAGCGGTGTAATACGATTAGTAAAAGTTACACTGGTATTATTATAACTCTTCTCTTTTAAAATATTATTTTTATAAATTAAATTTTAACATTTTAAATAAATTATTAATCAACTTAATTTATTTATTATCTTAAATCTAAGATATAAAATTCGAAAAAATGTATTTATCCTTGTTTTAATTTCTAATTAATTTTTTCTATATTAATTATTAGTCAAATTTAATAACTTTTAATTTAATAATTAGATCAATAAAATTCAACTTACACCATGAATTATTGAGCGGAGTAACTTTATTAAGAGTTACTTTGTAAGTCATTTGATTCCTCCTCTCTCTCTCTCTCTCTCTCTCTCTCTCTCTATATATATATATATATATATATATATATAATTTTGTTGATGATAATTGTGTATCTCATATTAAACAAAAATATATGTAAAATTGTTAATAAAATATAAGTTTATTAAGATAATATAATACTTTCAAAAGAAAAATATTACTTTTGGTCTAGTCTACTATTAAATGTGTTTTTAATCCTAAACTTTATCAAATTTTACCGAAATTTTTGAACAAAATAATATTTAGTTTGTACTAAAAATAACATTTAAATTCTAATTAAATAGGGATTATATATATGTGTATTATATTCAAACCTAGAAGTGATATATATATATATATATATATATATATATATATTAATTTTTAGCTTCCTAAGATTAACATAAAACTTTTTTATTCTAAAATAATTTAAAAGATAGAGAAATAAAATTAATATAGTATATTAAAGTATTTTTTTCTTTTTAACATTTCTAAATGTAATTACATGTCATTATGATTTTATTTTTCTATTTTTTATTGAAAGTAAAATTACATAATTTTGGAGTGTGCATGACTGTGTGAATTTTTATTTCAATTTTTTGTCTTGTAAATTGCGACGGTTGGGAAGAACCGTCACAATGTTGGAAAGTTTTGCGAAGGTTGGCAGAAACCGTCGCAATGTTTGAAAATTTTGCGACGGTTTTGAGAGAAACCGTCGCAATGTTGAAAAATTTTGCGACGGTTGGGAGAAACTGTCGCAATGTTGGAAAATTTTGTGACGGTTTTGGGAGAAATCGTCGCAATGTTGAAAAATTTTGCGACGGTTGGGAGAAACTGTCGCAATGTTGGAAAATTTTGTGACGATTTTGAGAGAAATCGTCGCAATGTTGAAAAATTTTACGACGGTTGGGAGAAACCGTCATATGAAGGGTTGCAATATCAAAGCGACGACGGTTTCAGGATAATCGTCGCAATTTGTCAGTCGCAATTCATCATTTTCCTTGTAGTGGTTTTATACTATTTCGTTTCAGCCATCGTGACTACATCTAGTCCTTGATCCAACCAGATCAAGTTTCATTATGTTGTCAAAGATATAAGTATTCTTTACAAAGTCACTTTTGGCTCAATCCTATGTATTCTTTGAATTGTCTTTTCAAGCAATCTATCCGCGTTTCTTTTCGCATAGAGCCTCTCCAAGCTCAAACAACAAGAATTCTTTTATGGTCAAGTCTTTCCAAGCTCAAAGAACAATTATTCTCTTACAGACAAGTCTCTTCAGGCTCAAACCTAATAATTGAGAGTTACTAAGTTTTACAACATTATTTTGTCTTCTTATCAAGATGTGTGATATAATAAATTTATGTACAAATGTTTTATAGAAAAAAAGAATGTAGTTTTTACAATAATCAATTTCTTTTTCTTTATAATCTTTAAACTTCCTTTTATATGACTTCGGTGAAGATGGTTGTTGCAAGTTCTTGAACTTCTCTCTCATGGCTTGCTTTGTCTGTCTTCATGATATGTTTCTTAAAGAGAGAAGTGTTTGTTGGTGTAACAAAAGCTTTCACCACATTATCACTTCTTATTTGATTAAGAAAACTACTTATCATTTGAGTAGTTAGAACCATGCGTGTGTTAGGATGTTGCAATGGTGAAACAACTTTTGATTGCAACTTTTCGTGTTTACATATATTTGCTTGTCCTTTTCTAATGCAAAACATGCATTTCTTTTCTTTTTGTAAAGTGTTGGTACTAAGGAAGCATT